GGCTGATCTTCTTCTTGTAGTCCACCTGCAGATCTTTAGTTTTTCCAATGTTGAGTTGCAGGTGGTTCTGTCCACCACACCTCTGTATTCAGCTTCTTGGTCACCAGTGATGCAGCCCACAATGGCATAATCATCCAGAACTTCTGCAGATGGCAGGATTGTGAGTTGTACCTGAAGTCCGAGGTGTAGAGGGTAAACAGAAATGGTGAGAGGACCGTTCCCTGAGGAGCCCCTGTGCTGCTCAAAATGGTGTTCAAGGTGGTGTTCTCCAGCCTCACATACTGTGGCCAACCTGTGAGGTAGTCTACGATCCAGGTGACCAGTGAGTTGTTCACCTGCATGTCCAGGAGCTTACTGCAGAGTAGAGCAGGTCTTTGGTGTTTAAAGCACTGGAAAAGTCAAAGAACATGTCTCTTGCAGTGCTGCCTGCCCTGTCCAGGTGTGTTTAGGCTCTGTGCAGCAGGTAGATGATGGCATCATCAACTCCAATGTTGGTGGGTTTCCTCACAGTAACTGCTGCTTCAGGTCCTTCCGCAATATCTGGATTGAATTATGGTCAGGACTTTGACTTGGCCATTCCAAAACATGAACTTTATTCTTCTTGAACCATTCTTTGGTAGAACCACTCGTGTGCTGAGGGTCATTGTGTTGCTGCATGACCCACCTTCTCTCGAGATTCAGTTCATGGACAAATGTCTTGATATTTTCCTTCAGAATTATCTGATATAATTCAGAATTCATTGTTCCATCAATGATGGCAAGACATCCTGGTCCAGAGGCATAAAAACAGGCCCAAACCATGATACTACCACCATCATGTTTCACAGATGGGATAAGCTTCTTATGCAGGAATTCAGAGTTTTCCTTTCTACAAAACATAAAACTTTTCATTTAAACCAAAAAGTTTATTTTGGTCTCATCCGTCTACAAAACATTCTTCCAACAATCTTCTGGCTTGTCCATGTGATCTTTAGCAAACTACAGACAAGCAGCCATGTTCTTTTTGGAGAGAAGTGAGTGGCTTTCTCCTTCAACCCTGCCATGAACACCATTGTTGTTCAGAGTTCTCCTGATGGTGGACTCATGAACATCAACATTAATGTGAGAGGCCTTCAGTTGTTAGAAGTTACCCTGGCTCCTTTGTGACCTCGCTGACTATTCCACTCCTTGCTCTTGGAGTGATCTTTGTTGGTCCACCACTCCTGGAGAGGTAACAATGGTTTTGAATTTCCTCCATTTGTACACAATCTGTCTGACTGTGGATTGGTGGAGTCCAAACTCTTTACAGATGTTCTGTAACATTTTCCAGCCTAATGAGCATCAACAACTCTTTTTCTGAGCTCCTCAGAAATCTCCTTTGTTCCTGCCATGATCCACTTCCACAAACATGTTGTGAAGAGCAGACTTTGATATATCTTGTTCTTTAAATCCAACAGGGTGCCCACTCACACCTTTTCAAAATCCATTGATTGAAAAAACACCTGACTCTAATTTCACCTTCAAATTAACTGATAATCCTAAAGGCTCACATACTTTCACCACTAATATGTAATATTGGGGGCAGTTCGGTGGAGTAACTGGTAGAGCTGCTGCCTCTCACGAGAAGGTTGCCGGTTCACATCCCTGTCCAGGGGCCTTCCTGGGTAGAGTTTGCATGTTCTCTCTGTGCGTGCGTTGGTTTTCTTCGGGTACTTCAGTTTCCTCCCACAGACCAAAAACATGCATGTTAGACTGATTGGTAACTCTAAATTGTCTCTAGGTGTGAGTGAGAGAGTGAATGGTTGTGTCTCTATGTGGCCCTGTGATGGACTTGCGACCCATCCACGGTGTACCCCACCCCTCGCACAGTGATTGCTGCACATGGGCACCGGGGACCCCCATGACCCAAAATGGAAGAAGCGGGTAAGATAATGGATGGATGTAATATTGGATCATTTTCCTCAATAAATCAATTCAATCAATCAATTTTGTAGAGGAGATAACATACAAGAATTTAACCATAACATAACATAGAATAACATACAAGAATCTAATAAATTATTTCAAATAAATGTATATTTATTCTTATATTTTACACGTAAAGCACTATAAAAACAGAAAAACTGGTGTGCAAAGTGACCAGATGTTTCTGAAACTTACAGTTCAGGAATTTTTTCAATATGACTTTTGGGTTTTTGCACACTGTTAGACTGTTTCTTTACTCTGCAGTTCTGTCTGCTTGTCTTATTAAAAGTACAAACAAAGAATGACAGACCCAGGTGTGTGGTTTTCATGGTGGCAGCAGCAACACTGATGTTGTTTGACTGTACTTTCAGGTAGTGGATGCATTGGTACCATTTTAAAAAGATTTCATAAATTTTCCAGTTTCATTTGTAGTTGGTGCTAATTAAACAAAAGCTGTCAGTATGTAAAATAAACAAGAATAATTGTGCATGAACTCATCTTTGCTGATGGCACAACTTCAGTTAAAGCAGTCATGACAAAGTACTGAATCCAGGTGGTTCCTACCAGAAAAAGAGAGTAGCGATCTGCAGCGATGAGCTCATTGATGTGAAGGAAGATCTTGTGGCAGAGAGCAGTCACATCCAGATGACTTGACACTTCCTTTACCAGCGCCAACAACCTGGTGCAACAGTCCCCCCCGCTGCCACAACCGCCTTCATTTCCTCCTCCATCATTTAAAACACCCTCACCCATTACTGAGCCTCCAAGATGGACTGTCTCTCGGTCTGTGTCGCTTAGAAATGTCAGAGAACCTTCAGAGTCTTTGACCACGATTGGTCTTAGAGGGCGGTCAAACTCTGAAGCTGAGATTTTGCGAGTTGGGGTGCCGGGAGCTGGGCTGGAAACTGTGGCTGGTGAGGGAGAGCGGTTCTCCAGGAGGCTAAGGGCAGTTGGGAGGATGACAGAGGCATCTGAGGGGTCAAGATTCATGGAAGGTTGGTGGACCCGCTGCTGCGAAGAATTTTCTTTGGGCACAGACGGCTGAACGGTATGAACGCGGTCAGCGAACCAGGCATTTACCATCTCCCTGTTGAAACAGAAAACAAAACAAATCAATGTCTTTCACATGACAAGCTTGGAGATCAAGTAGTTATTAGGACACAAAAAATGAAGAGACTGAGATTAAGAGTACAAGCAGCTACCATTACTTTCTTTTGTAAAAAAGGCTAGAAAGTAGCTGAACCTCAGCAAATCTGGAAAACCTTCAGTGTGAAGGCATTGATGATGATGCTGATGACACTTTAAGTGCACCCCAAATAGATTGTTTTATGTTTCTTATGTCACTGAAACACTCTTTTGCCCTGTATATACCTGCCAAGGCACATCACTCCTAGACCACAGAAAATGTAGCTATGCACCAAAAGATCAGTCCACACTACCTCCACATGTATCAAATTGTCCCACTCACAGTCAAAGCCTAGGCATAAGACCAGTGTGGCCAGTCCAGCTATAAATTAGAACTGCACAACACATCAAAATACAGTATATTCAATCCTAAAGTGTGCAAAACTCAATACTGTGAAGTATTTATTACAATAACCTGCAAACTTTAACCAGATGCCAAAAATATATTTGATCCTCACTAACCTAAATGTCCCCAGATGAGTTAGAAGAACGTCACTGAATTGCTAAAGCTAAATGCTATAGTAACATTAAAGAGTGTTGCGGGCATCACAATGACAATAGAAAAAGAGAGGATAGAGGAACATACATGTATATCTTTTATTTAAGAGAAACATGGGTATCTTGGTTGATTCACATCTCTCTTAAACTCCACGTGGAAAACTTGGTAAAGAAACTAAAAGTTAAACCAGGTTTGTTTTTCAGAAAAAGATCCTGTCTAACTCTGAATGCTAGGAAACACCTTGTAACTGCGACTTTCCTTCCCTCCATTGACTACGGTGACATTATTTACATGAACGCTCCTACAAGCACCCTGCAGATGATGGATGCTCAGTGTTTCCCCTAGTTAACTTGCCATGGTGGGGTGCTCATCCCATCCATGATTTTTGCTGATGGGGGGGACGGAGACAAGTCTGAGCGCAGCTGGTACTAACAGTTTTTGAGCGGGGACGGGGGGCATTCAACATGAGGGAAGAGGCAACATGAGTGCTGCCTTTGGCTTTTTAGCTAAAGAGCCTGTATTTTGTGCCACTAGTTTAGTGATATGTCAGTGCTGGGTGGGGGTGGGAGAGGCAAGATCAGTTTGGTAGGCAGGGTGCTCAGTTCTGTTGACGGGGTGGGGCACCCCGTCTGTATAATGGTAGGGAAAACACTGGATGCTGTTTATCATGGTGCACTAAGATTCATAACTGGCTGTGATTATCGTACCCACCACTGCACCCTGTTATTCACTGGTTAACTAAACATCATTAACTTCACACAGACTCTCTCACTGGTACATTTTCATCTTTAAATCACTTCTTGGTCTGCTGCCTTCATACATCTCCTCCTACATGTCACTGTGTGAGTGCAGCTACAGCGTGCACTCTCAGGACATTATTACCTGCAGTGTTCCCTCAGAGAGGACTGAACTTGGCAAAAGGTTCTTCTCCTACTCTGCTCCTGTTTCCTGGAATATCTTACAAAAAGACCTGAAGCTCTCGACCTTAACCTCTCTAAGTGGCTTCAAACATCTGTTAAGTTCCTGGCAAAAACCAACGCAGAAATGTTCCTGGTTTTAGTTTTCTACACCTCCTTACAATAGTTAGGTTTTTTTTCTTCATTTTTTAATACCATTTTCTGTATTTGTTCTTCTCAATTTGTATGATTTTTATGATTGTCTTCTGTTGTCTTTGTTGTCCACTGTTGTCATCACTCTTTGTTAAAATTCAAGTCTGTCTTGTAAATGAGCCCCCTAGACTCAATGGGATTAACCTGTATAAATAAAGGCTGAATGAATGAAAATGGTCATCCAAACAGGAACAGAACATACAATAAGCCTATTAAATAACAATAAAACTATGACTTGTATTTAGCATACAAGTGAACAATCAAACCTCAATCCAAAATCAATGTCTTTAACATAATACACCGTTAGAAAATTAAGAACAGGTAGATTGACCAAGTGCTTTATTTTCTAATTAAAATTAATTTCACCTTCTTAATGTGAAAATTTTAAGTCCTTTTGAAAATGATTCCAGTAGTTGAGTAGCATTTTTAAAAACTGTCCCCCTAATTCTACTCTGACTTTGAAGACAGACATTTATAAAACATAATGAGAGCATGGGTTGTACTGGTATTTACTAATATAAACACATAGATGAGAAGGCAGTGACCCAAGCACAGATTTGTATATAAAAATCAAGCAGTGGAAAGTCTGAGAACATTCAATGGCTGCCATTTAGCAGCAATGTACAAAGAAAAGAGATTTCCACAGACAGTAAAAAACTGAATAAAAAAAGAGAATCTGTTTCATTTTAAACCCATTGAATGATTTGAGTGTGAGGAACTTCAGACAGATCTTTTACATTTGGAAATATAAAGAACTTAGTTTTGCTGCATTGAACACCAACTTAAGTTGTGTTAAATGGAACTGAACAGCATCAAAGACTGACTGGAGAAATTCAAGAGTGAACTTGAGGGTTTGAGCTAACGAAGGTGATGAACAAAATATAAGTGTGTCATCTGCATAGAGTGAAATGCAGAATTCCATCCATCCATCCAACCATCCATCAATCCATCATCTTTACCCGCGTCTTCCTTTTCGGGTCACAGGGGTCACTGGTGCCCGTATCTAGCAGTCACTGTGTGAGAGGTGAGGGACACCCTGGACAGGTCTCAGTCTATCACAGGGACACATAGAGACAAACAAGACAAACAACCATTCACTCTCTCACTCACACCTAGAGACAATTTAGAGTTACCAGTCAGTCTAACATGCATGTTTTTGTATTATGACCAGTCATATTTTTGGTCTGTGGGAGGAAACTGGAGTACCTGGAGAAAACCCACGCATACACTGAGAGAACATGCAAACTCCACCCAGAATGGACCCGCCATGGGATTTGAACCACATTTCTGCTCAGTTCTGAAGAGCTGCATGAAGGGTTGACCTTTGATGTCCTGCTGCACTTCTCTTCTCTACATTTCAAATTTAAATACTGTAACATTTTAAATAAATAATCCATGCATGTATCCATTGTTGAAAAATGACAAAATACAAATCCTAAAACCGCTAAAATTTAATGCCACTCCGTTTATATATATATATATATATATATATATATACTAAAATAAACTACTAATATTTGTACTATTATCCCTACTTCGTGGTTTTTCACATATCGCGTGGGGGGTGGTGGTTACGGAACCCCGGTGATAAATGAGTGACTATTGTATTAGAATAATCTGTACTGTTTGGCTCTAAGGGCTCTTTACAGTTTATGAGTGAAAATCTACATTTCTGCAACTTAAAATGGTCATTGGTCATTTTAAAGTGAGGTTATATAAAATGTTTCTAAACAATTATTATCTTACCTGTTGTACATAGATCTTTGGATAAATTTAGTTTGCAGAGAGAGTTTAATTTTGACCAGACTGACAAGCTAACGAGAAGTGCCACAGAAGGACCAAAGTGGATTACTGCTATTTTTAACAGCTCCATTCTGAAATACTTTATTGTGGTCATGGTGAACTTATATACCACTGTGTTTTAGTACACAGTTTTTAGTACACAGTTATTGCACATACTGCAGGACTATAATATTTCTGCTGGAATAGTTGTGTAACGCAAAACTTATGGCAGTGTAAAGTTTAAAACATTGCGTTGCTTGAACTGAGTTATACTGAGCAGCAGGATTTCACTCTGGTCTTGACTACATTCAGACAAGCTGTTAGTCCTATCAACGTTAGGCTTGTTCACCAAACTAAGGTTGTTCAAAATAATTGTTCAGAACTGATTAAATTATCCTTTTCAGCCTCTCCTTTTCAGCAGTTAAAATACAAATTATTTGGAGAAGCGAACAGTGCAATATTTTAATCAAATAAACAGGAAAACTCATACCAAGTGGCATTCAACAAAACTTGATTTCTATTTCATTTCAAATTATTGTTTTAGTTATTATCATTTAGGCCCTGTCTACAGTTTTTGAGTGAAACTGCAACTTATTTGCTGGGGGTCAGCTGCTTGTGTACTCTACAACAGCCCCTGTTCTCTCTGAACTTGAATGTTTCTGAATCTTGGAGTGTTTTCACACCTGATAGTCCTGTAGACTTGGTTCTATTTGAGACCAAAATACAGAACACATGTTTACATTTCAGCTGGTGCGTTTGCATTCACACTGCACTGAGTCAATTGAGCCAAACTGTCCCCACCCCCCCACCCCCCGCCTGTGGTGGCACTGCACCAAGAACTACTGAAGGAAACGACACAAAAACCTCTGAAGAAGACACTTCTTCTGGAAATAAAAACAAAAACGGAGTGGCGTTAAATTTGAGTGGTTTTAGGATTTGTATTTTGTCATTTTTCAACAATGGACTCAGCATGAGCAGAAGATGAGGCAGAAGAACATGGAGAATGTTGTTTTTCACACAAGGCGCCTGATGGATCCGTATGAGGTAAGAGAAATGCGCATTTGTTCGCCCTGCGCTCTAGTCCACTTCCTGCTTTTGGAGCAGTCTCCGGTCCGCTTGCATTCACAATGCATTCGAACAGCGCCAGAGTTCACTTTAACCAGACCGAGACCTAGGTTTTTTATGTGGACCAGAGTTCACTTTTTTGGTCCGCATCGGAGTTAGATTGTGCATTCACACCTACCCAAACAAACAGGAATTTCTAGGCAAACAGACTAGAGTTTGATTAAAGCAGACTAAACAGGGCTGCTGTGAATGCATCCTTGATCTCAGAGTGGAGATTTTCTGTGCAACCACCTGCCTAGTGTAAAATATTCAGTCGAGGCACACATGTGCACTCCAGGCAGCTGCAGTCAAATGTTCTTCTGCTCTACGAACAGTTACAATTAAAGCTGCAAGCAGCATTGAAGGCCCTCACAGCAAAGTGCCGCTCCGGCCTTACAGCGACCGTGG